TGTTTGCTCATGAAATCGACAGGAAAGGTGATGGCCACAGTTTTTTGGGATGCACGCGGTAGTTCATATCGATTACCTTCCGTCGAAGCAAACGATCAATGGCGATTGCTACGCAACCTTATTGGACCGTTTCAACATTTTAAAGAAAAAACGTCCTCATTTGGCGAAGAAGAAAGAGTGTGCTCTTCCATCAAGACAATGCACGGGTTCACACGTGCCCGGCACCATGATGACCAAATTCAACGAATTCCGCTACGAATTGCTTCCCCATCCAATATATTCGCCAGATTTAGCCCCTGCGACTATTTCCTGTTTCCAAACCTGAAGAAATGGTTCGGAGGAAAGAGATTCACCAGAGAGCAGCTCATCGCCGAAACAGAGGTTTATTTTGAAGGGTTGAAATCATATTATTCGGACGGCTTGAAAAAGTTGGAGAACCGTTGGATCAAGTGTATCGAGCTGAAAGGAGACTATGTTGAGAAATAAAAATGAAACGATAAAAAAAAAATGTGTTTTACTATGCTTTTCTGAAAACTTATTGACTTGCCCTCGTATTTCAGCAACCTTTCAATAAGGTTTCATGTGCAAGAATTGCTAACATTTTGTTCCAGAGCTGTTCGAAAAATGTTGCAAATATATTTTTTGCGACTTTTATGAAGTTATTTCACTTTTCAGTTGAAATACTTCTGAGATATTTCTGAATATTTTCAGTGCTGTATAAGTTATCATCAGCGGTTTGAGAGGTTTTAAACAAATTTTTTTTTATTCCTTACGATCTTGACTATAACTATAGATGAAGCTAGGATCCTTTGGAATGAAGAACATCAGGATAGAAACGAATATTACAGGCACTGAATCTCTGACATCTCTGCAAGTTTATTAATTTTTAAAATAATTACATGTATACATAATAATATATCTTGTAATATTAAAATACTAACATATCAGTAATCACTTCCGACCATCCACGAATAAAACCAGGCTTGCGAAATATCCAAAGAAATACGCATGTGAAGAATAAAGTGGCTACTCCAATTTCATGAAAAGTTATGGTACCCAAATTCTTGTATCTCTCTTGTATAACCTAGAAAAATTACTATTCATTAAAGAAAAATTTAATTTCAATGTTATATTTCCCCATGAAATATCACAGTAATATCTCAGTAACATTTTTGTTGTAATATTGTTAAAACTAATCTAAGCTCCACACATTTCCAGTTCATATGTATCTTCTATAGTTATAACTCGAATTTATATTTCGATGTTCATATTTCGTGCCTCCTTGATTTATACGCGCATCCAATCATTCGAAGGCGCGTTGCCTTGCGTTCATTCGCACGCCTACTGTACCGGCGTATTGTATGTATCGCTCACTCTTTCTCTTGCCATTATTTTTCACACTTTCATGATATTTTTTTGAAAATTGTAAGAGACATTGTAAGAGACAAACAAGTTATTAAATATTAAAATTGTTAAATGTGATATTTTTTTAATTATTTTGAAAAAAAAAACTGATTTTTAATTTATAAACGAATAGTCTCAAAAATAAAAAAATTATCTGGAATTTTTCAGATGAATTGTCAGATAAATTTATGTATATTATTTAGATTGATTTAAATGTAATCATCTTTATCTTATCTAATAAGGGAACCTCTCGTGATGTCACTTACCGATCTTAATGAAACTTGGTGAACTTGTAGCTTACATAAAATTTAGAGAATATCAATTGCGGCCCAAAAACGGTTTGAAGGGTGAAATCACCCCTTATGTGTACAGCGGTTTTCAGCTTTTTCCGTTATATCTCGAAAACTATTCAAAAAAATGTTTTATACAAAAGTTTTACAACAAAATTAGGGTTGTATAAATCATATTATTTGGCTTGAAAAAGTTGGAGAATCGTTGGTTCAAGTGTATCGAGCTGAAAGGAGACTATGTCTCCTGAAATAAAAATGAATCGATAAAAAAAAATGTTTTACTATGTTTTTCTGAAAACTTATTGACTTACCTCGTAAGAAGGTACCATTGATTTGACTTTGGGTGTCATTGTTAAAGTCAGGTCAAGGTCACATCGACTTTTTTTAAATGGTACAACATATTTCCAGAATTTAAAAGCTGATAAGCAAGAGCTTATCGAAACACTCTCTCTATATTGAAGTTTATTTTCATTAAATACTTTCCGAGTTATAAGATTTAAAAGTTAGAAATAATATAAAAAGAATGTACAGGACTCTTAGTATTTAAAAAACAAAGATAGATAAAGGCATGTAAGAGTCAAATATAATATATAATTTCAGATAACACAGTCATAACATGATATTACTTTTAATTACAAAAACAAATGAAACAAATTAAAAGTTAGAGTCTTCAGTATTATGTTGAAGCTGTAACTTTTGAATCTCATAATTCGGAAAGTACTTAATGACAGTGAACATTATTATAGCGTTTTGAAAAGCTCTTGCTTATCAGCTGTTAGATTCTGGAATCAAAAATATGTTCCATTAGAAAACATCGATGTAACTCGACTTGATCTTAATGACGCTAGGTCAAATAAATAATACCCTTTTGTGTCCCTTTCTGAACGATATAACTTTTATTTAAAACATTTTTTCCTATCTATCATAGTTTTCGAAAAATCTTAATGCATTATTTAAAACGCGACACCCTGTACGAGTACATACTATTATGTATATTAGAATTTAAGGAACTACTTTTGTTAGTTTTTTCAAATACTTATATTCTTACTTGATTTGTGACAACTTCACCTTCTCTTCCGATTGACGCTACTTGAGCATCCTTACTGTGTGGTCTTAAATATCCCATATAAGCAATTCGTACATACAACCAGGTTAGAAAGGAATTTACACACATCTGAGGAAAAGACGCTATCATCCAATCTGTAAAACTAATTCCTTCAGCCTCTGGAAATATACTTTCATAGATCCCTTTGAAAGTCAAATTTGTGCCAGTTCCCACCAATGTTCCTGTGCCGCCAAACGTCGAACAGTAAGCAGCCGCTAACAAATATGCTTTCGTTATTTTCGTTGGTCTTATCTCACTAAAAAAGGATAGTTATGTATTATAAAATATCTAATAATAAGTAAATGTAAAGTAAGATTAATTTAATTTGCGTGTTATAATTTATTTATACTGGTGAGGACTCAAACCGAGGCGAGGGTTGAAACGTATATGTATAGATACAGATGTATAGATACAGATTTCAATAAACAAGGTTTTAATACACGCGGAAGAGCATGTATTGGCTCATATATTGGCATGATTTATATATTTTTAGATTTATTCTCTTGAGCCTATATTTTCTTTACTTTATTTTAAAATCCTAACTAAAATTATTGGAATTGAAATATGTTGTATCTATTACGTTTAAGCCCAAGACACAATGGGTGCATCCAGAAGCACGACTGTTCATTGAGCGCTCAGTGAGCTCTTGTACCTGTTTGGTTTATATTTTTAGATCTAATGGAATATGCCAATCGGATAAAAAAGCTCATTGAGCGCTTAGTGAGCGGTCGTACTTCTGGACGCATCTAATGCGAGGGAATAGTGATAGCGATAAGTTTCAACTTATCAGAAATCGAATACACCGGAATACACATTTTTGATAGGTTAATTGAAACTTATCGCTATCGCTATTCCCTCGCATTGTGTCTTGGGCTTTAGACTTCCCGTAATATCTTATTTGAAAAAAATACAAAATGAGATCTTCTTCAACGGACTCTTATGGTTCAAAAACAGTACAGTCCTTGAGGGCGAATGAGAGTGCAGCGTTGTTATCGGTACGCAAATTTAATGAATTTTTGACTTTTTGTCAATTGAATAATCTGAATTCATAAGTATCCTTTATTCAATAATGATTAATATATAAGAGATTATTTTAGTTTTGCTATATTTTAAAATGTTTATTTAGAAAAGAGATAATTATAAGATGATAAGGATTAAAATAATAAATATTAAAAGCCTCACACGCACGCACGCACACAAAACATAATCTCTTTTAAAATATATAAATATTCTAACCCTTGCACATTTTGTTGATTTTTTCCCACAAGAGTTATTATAATGTTAAAATATATTTATATAGAACATAAATGCGCATTTATAGCTTATTAGGTGAGGTTCATATCGCGCGCGCACGAGGAGCGCATTTTACTCGCATGCATGCGAGCGATATAACTCTCAATTGAGACGCATCTGTCTAATGCCATGAGCTCACTGCCATGTGAATAATCCTCACGCGTATGTGCACCATGCGATCATTACGCGAACATATTGTTATGTGAGTATCTATACTATTTTCAAATATTTTTGTTTGAAAAGAATTATTTTACTTACGGCGGTGCGTCCGGTCTTTCGAAATCAACCTCTGCTTTGAACAATGCACCTAATCCAGCCTATAAAAATCAATATCTATACACACACACACACACACACACACACACACCACATGCGCGCGAGGGAGTATGTGGTGTGTGTGTATATATATATTTATACATGCTACTATTAGATATTAAACAGAAGTTATTTAATACTTGTTCTAACTCTCGTAAAACAGCAAATATTATGGGCACCATCATAGCTGTGGCTGCAGTGTTTGACACCCACATGGATATAAAAGTTGTGACCACACATAAACCACCAAGCAATTTTGCATGGCTGCAACCAACCGTTTTCATGACTCCGAGAGCAATCCTAAGATGGAGATTGCTGTGCTCTATGGCGATAGCAAGTATTAAACCACCGATGAAAACCATTATTGTATCATTCATGTAACAGGCGCATGTATTCGCCGTACTGAGTATGCCCAAAGCTGGGAACATTACAACCGGAATGAGTGATGTTACTGCCATAGGAAAGCAATCAGTAACCCAGTAACCACCCATCAGTAATACTACGTATGCACATCTAACTTCCTGCAAAAATTATTAAGTTACTTGTTATTATGAAATTTAAACAAAATTTAAACTATGTGCATTAAAGTAGTTTTTCTTTTTTTAAGTGTAGATTAGAATCCAGAATTTATAAAGAATTAATAAATTAAAAGAGTTACTTTGATTTAGATCTTAGAAAATGTTAGAGATAAAATATACAGAATCTAATTACTTCTTTGTAAAGTTATAGAAAACATTTAAATTAATATGGTTTAAAAAATAACAATATATACACAGAAATAGAAAAAGAATACCAAGTAATCGTAAATCATGGGAAACGGTAAAAGAAAGAGCGCCCATAGAAGAGCAAAAATAATCTTCCAATAGATCTTGAAGAAGCGTCCTATATTTCTTAAGAAGTTGATTAGATTCCTTAAATAATTGACAGGTTCTTCACTCCTTTCAGACCTTTCAGAAAATTAGTTATTAAATCTTTTCATAGCATGTAGATTTATATATATAATGTAGTATATAAATTTTGCGCTTACAAAGATGATTCTTAAAAAGAGACCAATTTTTAACCAAAAAATGCACAAGAGGAGTAGTGTTGTAGATTTTGACCTATTGAATATAATAAAATTATTAAAAAGTTCTTAGAGAAAGTGTTTGGGAAACACTTTGAAAATTGAATACAAACATAGAATATTTATCTAAATTTATATATTCTTAATTAATTTTTGAGGTATTTTTTCTAAATGCTACAAATTCTTTAAAACTTGTTATATCCAGGAGGTTAAAATCCACAATAAATGCTATTTTTTTTATTTATGTCTTTTTGAACAAAAATTGACTCTATTTTAATATCCTCCTTTGAATTATTTAAATATGAATATAATTTATTGCAAAAAACTTAATGATAATAATAATTTAATAAAAAAACTGAAAGACAAAGATAATCAATTTTGTTTACAGTATTTTTACTCTGAAAATTAATAAAATAATGAAAAATATCATAATGCGTCCAAATTTTGTGAAAAATTTAAAAAAATTAAAAAATTCTTTTTTACGTAATTTATGATATTACACTTATACAGAGTGGGTTACTATGGTTTGACGATTTTCAAAATTAAATATCAATATAAAATATAATTTAAAAATTAATTTTTTGTAAAATATTAATTAGCGCGAAACACTATAATATCTTCTGATAAAAAGTAGGATACTATCGGTATATCTAACTTATTCGAGTAATGACTGCGTTCAACAGGTGAATCAGTTCAAAGTGATTTTTTTTTAAATCTGAGTTGTTCTTACTTTTATCTTTTCGCTGGATTTAAGTGTTGACATCAATTGTAATAAAAAGAATCACTGAATGGTTATTAAATTACTCTGTCTGTTAAGTGTAGCATTGGCTGTGTTCATCAGTAAAAACTGATCAGAACAAAATTATGAAAAAATTGCAAATTATTCTAAATCATATTTTAAAATAATACAACAATTTGATAAAGATTCATTATCTAGATCATAAATTATTTTAATAAATAGTAGTATTTTTTAAATCTGTCCCCTCTAATAAAAATGTATAGAAATGTACAATATTAAAAAATGAATGATCAATTCATTAACTTTTTATATTCATTAAAAATATCGACTTTAAAAAATGTATTATAAATTTGTTAACATTTAAAAAAATTTAATTTATAACAATAAAAATATAATAACAAATATAATAAACTATAAAAATGTGTTGTATAAATATTAACACATTTGTAAAAATGACAATACATTCTTAACATGATTCCTTAATATGGTCTGTACTTACAGATCAAGTTTGTTAGATTCAGTGGAGCAAGGAACTAATTATATTAAAAATTATTGAGTGTGTTCGCTAATCAGTTTTTTTTGCTGAAAGCAGTCGTTATTCAAATATACCTACTCAAATATACTCAAATGGAATTCTATTTTCCATTGTAAGAAAAATTAATACTTAAGTTATTTTGTTACTTTATTTTGAAAATTGTTAGGTTTTTCTAGTTATATTATACATGCACTATAATGCACTAAAAATCTTTATTTGATTTAAAAACATGAATAATATAATATATTGCTAAAGGTAATACATGAGGTATTACAATCTACGGATAAATAATGTTAAATCAGTAGATATTATATTATATATTAGTTAAGTTCATTAATTCCATACTCTCAATTTAAGAAGCCTTTAAATGAAAAATATCGATAGAAAAATTTTTACTATTTATTATTTGTCATAAATTATACACTTCAAAATCCGTTAATTTTGATAATAATTTTATGTTCAATAATATGAAAAATTTTTAAGGTTTATTAAACAATTAAGTAGTCTCTTAATTATAATCATAAATAGTTCAATTTATTTTTCTAAAAAATTAATATGTAAATTATTAACCTTAATCTTGACAATACTTTTAAGGAAATATTTTAATTTGGAATAAATTAAATTTTTAATGAATAATTGTCGTAATCAGTATAAGTAATTAAAACATATTAATAAATTAATTAAAGTAACTTTTTTTATTTTAATTACAAATTTTTCAATATAAGTTAAACATCATTTAAAAAGTCAATTGCGTTTAATATAATAAAATTTTTGGAGAAGAATTGTTCTTTTTAAAACTCAAAAAATTATACTGTGTGTACGCGTTATTATAAAACTTGATAGCAAAATATAAAATTTACCTATACCTCATGTAAGTTCTGTAAAAAATTTAAATTGATTAAGTACTAACTTTTCTGTTGGTTCTTTACTTCTATTTTCTTTTCTTTCTTCCATAGTATTTAAGCTTTACGTATACTTTACATAAAACACGTTTCCAAGATATATTAACATTAATTTCCGTTTTATTGGTTATGAAACAAACAATATAATGTAATCTTGAATATAATGGAAGAAGACAGATGAGATAATGCGAATAACGGTAACTCAGAGCAATCGCTGGCCAATAAAATTTGAGTTCTAATTAGTAGCGTATATAACGTTGATTACTGTATAGTATAATAAAAAAAATAATTTGGTAGATAAAATTTCATTTTTTTTATTATACTATATAGTAATCAACGTTATATACGCTATACGCTATATACGTTGTATACGTGTCATATACGCATATATATATTTTTTTTTTATAAAGAACTATAACTATAAAAAGTGTTATTATGACTACAGTCCATTTGATGCTACAAATGCTTCGAAGTATTTTTTTGATTGGTCAATTCGCTTAAGGCCATCACATGTACATACAAAAAATTTAGTACAAAAATTTTAGTAGTAATCGTTAGAGTCCTAGATATCAGAGAAGCGCAACCGGCTTAAGTCAGTATCGCAAAATTACTAAGAAAAGTATTAAAAATGGCGTCATTTGCAGACGAAATATGAAATCCACCAATCGTCTATTAGTCAGCCATTTTTAATACCACTGAATGAATGTCATGATTGGCTGACAATCAGCTAATCAGGACACGGAACATCGGTTGCGCTTCTCTGATATCTAGGACTCTAGTAATCGTAAGGTCTTAAGCAAATCGGCCAATCACAGTTTAGCGTATTAAAATGTGAGATCGTAATCTTGATTGTGATTGGCCGATTTGCTTAAAACCTTACGATTACTACTAAAATTTTTGTACTAAATTTTTTGTATGTACATGTGATGGCCTTAAGCGAATTGACCAATCAAAAAAATACTTCGAAGCATTTGTAGCATCAAATGGACTGTAGTCATAATAACACTTTTTATAGTTATAGTTCTTTATAAAAAAAAAATATATATATGCGTATATGACACGTATACAACGTATATAGCGTATAGCGTATATAACGTTGATTACTATATAGTATAATAAAAAAAATGAAATTTTATCTACCAAATTATTTTTTTTATTATACTATACAGTAATCAACGTTATATACGCTACTAATTAAATTTTTATGGGAAATGAAATACATTTAGGGGATAATCATACGGACCATTTGGCAGCACTGACATCGGTAGTAATAATGGTAGTTTCGCAGTGTGATGACATGTTTTCTAACCTTTTAATAGTCATCAACTTTAACGTTTAATATCTCGGTATTCGGGGCAAAGCGATGCTTATTTCTGTCAGATTTTTTCCTTTTATACAAATATACGTCGAATCAGCCTAATTTTAATGATTTTTTAAGTGCTTTAACTAAACTGTATAATTACTGCCAATCAGGATAATAATTGTTCACATTGCTTGACTGTTTATAATAAGTTTTGTTACGCTATGTACATTTTTATAGTAAACACTATTATCAATAATTAAAGTCTTGAGGGATCGCTTGAGTGAGGCGGACCTGTTTCGCCTCGTCTCGAGTGTTGCATCATTATTTTTGAAAAGCGTTGCCGGCTTTGACTACCTAGCTAGCTTGACCAACTTTACCTCGTCATCGAGGATTCGGGCCATATATATCAGAAGAAGAAGAAGAGTATTCGATAACAGGACGTGTCATTTATAGATTATATTGTTCTTAATTAAACACAAAATTCGAAAATTGTTTTAACCTGATTCTGCTAGTTGTTGAATTCGTGGATACATTTTTTCAATTTCGTTAATATAGTTTATTAAAGTGTTGGTGATATATTTATTATAAGTGTTCCTAACTATCTTCTTTATAAAACGTCGGTGAAATGGCAGAAGAAACAGAGAACATCAGTCATAATTTTAACGTGGATGGTAAGTAAAATTATATAAAATTGTAATATATTTATAATTCAAATAAATAAATCAAGGGCTACGAGTCAGTTTGTTTATTAATAATAAGATAAATTTAAAAAATCAAATTTGTGAACAAGAACTATGAACCTATTGACTGTTTGTTACAAGTTTAAAATTATTACAATTGATATAAAATATTTGTAATTCTTTTAACCTTTAGATGGCTGGACTGGCCACTATAGTGGCCAGTAACAGAAGTCTGTATAACTTGAATCACTGCATCCCATCAAATATTCAACTATTATTTCATATAACTAAGAATGGTGTTGCCAAGACAAATTTGATAGTAATTCCATTTTTTTGCCACTAGGAGGCATACCGATTTTATTTACTCGCTAAAGGAAAGTTTCATATGTAGTAAATGTCTGTTATTCAATTCGACTTATGTAAACTCTTGTCTAGACTTATCTAGATAAATAACACTATTTCTACATAAAATTCGATAATCTGACTTCAGAAACGTGTTCTGAATAAAAAACAAACTAGGCTAATTCTACAATGTGCTTTTTGTTTCCTGTTGTTTGTCTCTTGCCTTTTTGATTACGAAGGCAAGAGACAAACAAACAGCAAGAAACAAGAAACAAAAAGCACATTATAGAATTAGCCTTAGGAATACTAAAAACAAAAAATTAAAATTTTTCACTTTGCCCGTCCCGTTGCGGACTGGGATATACACGATAGTTTTTAGCATCACATAATGGATTTTTCATACCTTAAATTAATCTTCATCACTTTTATAAGTATTTAACAATTTTTAAGTAATTTTCATGTATATTTTTACATCTCTAGAAAATATTTGTAAAGTTACACATTTATTTTAAAAACTATTTATAAATATTATAACTAATTTATTATAGTTAATATGAGAAAATACAGTTTTTCATATAAAAATGCAAACAACTACTCTCTAAAAGTGAATCAGTGTATTATCACTGACTTCATGATATATTCTATATAGTAGTACATATAAAAAAATTGCTTTTTTATTGTCGTGAATATTGAAATTGTCATTATAGCTTTTGATTGCTGGAACGACAATTATTAAGGTAATGATTATGAACTCAAAGTTGCTATTGTTCATTTGAGAATTTACTTGATATTATAAATATATTTGATATAAAATATTTTATGGAAAAAATGTCACTTTACACGAAACTGTTCTGAAAATATACATTATTGTAATATCTTTCATATGACAATTCTTTACGATAACATTTAAGATACACAAAGTATGATTCGATCTCTAGATTCTATAGTCTATGTTTTTCACTGATATTGTTTTATAATCACATTTATTTCTTACCTTAAAATGTTGCATTTGGAATTTGTAAAAAAGTAGAAAATAAATTTAAATGAGAAGATAAAATATATGTAGTGCGAGTAGTACTCTTGTCGTTATGAAAATCATTTTTCGCTCTTCGGCGAAATGAAATATAAATAAATACCGAATAAAAGAATGTTCATGTCATTTAAGTACTGCTACGTGGCCCATTCGGAAAAATCCGAAAGTTTAAATACGTATTCACCCCAAGTGGAGAATGCTATTACAGTGATAACGAGTGTGATGATGCTAGGACCGATACCAGCAATCATAAAATCTTTTGTCTTTATGTGCCCTGCGGCACTAGCAATTGCATTTGGTGGAGTACCTACTGGTAGATGGAACGAAAAGGAGCAGCAGAGAGTTGCTGGCAGCATTAAATACAAAGGATGTATTTTAATAGCCACACACTGAAAAAAAGAAAAAGACAATAGTGATATATAATTCTTGGAAACTAGCTTATACGAGATGTGTACAATTAGTTATACTCACCATCTCTGCTAATACTGGCAATATAATATTCGCCACGGCAACGTTAGCCGTTAATTCAGTCACGTTCTCAGCAAAGAAGCAGATAATCAGCAATATTGCTACCACGTTAATCTTTTGCAAACCTATCAGATAGTGGCCGAGCATTTCTGACAGACCCGATGAAGTGCTACCTGCTGAAATAGCAAATCCACCACCTAACACGAATATTAGACTCCAATGCATTTTCTCGTTTACCATTTTCCATGTTATTAAACTAAGCGATGATTTTGTGGGTCGTTTACGTGGATCTTTACTAAATGCATATAGAAAGTCCAATTTCGACGGAATAATAAAAAACAGTATCGTTACACACGCGGCTGCTGTCGAATCCTTAACAGACCTACAAATATCAAATTTTCCATTATTTTATATTCACTTTAATTTATTATTTTATTATTGTTTATATTATTTTTTTGTTGTGTATATTTTAATTTTTCGTTGTTTTAATTACATTTTGGGTTTCGTCTAGAATAAATTTTATTAAATTTAAAAAATTATACAATTTTAACGAAATATTATGAATTACAAAAATATAATGTAAAGTTACTTTTTATTAATTTTTTCTTATCTTTTAATTATTTTCATGATAATCTATAATCAAGTTTGATTGAAATGGTGGAAAGTGCACATATTTTATGATACTGATTCTCATCAATACTTACGAGTTTGTGACATAAGCAGCCCAGCCCGGCATAAAACCAGGGCTTCTGAAGAACCACAAGAGCACCACAAAAATAAATAAGACACCTACGGAGAACTCATGCCACGAGATCGGTCCAAGTTCTTTATATCTCTTTTCAATAACTGACGTTGCGATACGCTCGCCCTGTTGTCCAATATCTATCGCACGAGCATCTTTGCTTTTCGGTCTAAAAAGACCCATATACATTACCTGCAGCCACAACCATGTGAGCAAACCCATTAACAGCATGGGTGGCACCGAATATAACATCCAAGAGGCGAAATTTATGCTGGGACTATTGGGAAAACGTCTAGAAATGATCGTGAATTTCATAATTATTGTTATTTCTTCTAAATATGAAAAAATTAAATATGTCACATCGCGAAATTAAAAATTTATAAAATTAATTTGTTAATATGAATATCTATTTTATGTATGTTATTATACATTATAAATGTTTTGAGATATTTTATTATTACGACATTAAAAATAACACGTTTTACATAAAATTTACTATTTATTGTGAGCACATACTTTTCTAAAAATCCCTTCAATGTTAAATTGGTACCACTTCCCACAATAGTGCCGATACCACCGAGAGTAGATGCGTAAGCTGCGACGAGATAATATACCATGGTACTATGCGTTGGCCTCTTGCTTTAAAAAAAAATAAAAAATTGGCAACATTAGATATATGTATTATATTAGATATGAAATATTTTTTTTTGTATCATTAATAATTTTGGAGAAAATTGATTAAAATGTATTACCCTAGCTGTATTTAAAAACAAATTCTAAAAAATAAAAAAAGGGAAACATGTACGCGCGCGCGTATGCATATAATTATAAATAATATAAATATAACGATAAATAATTACATTTCTCTGCCCTCCTCGTCGGCCACTCTCTCTTTTTGTACGAACATGTTTCCAAGTCCTTGCTGAGATAAATTTGAAGAATTATTTTCTTTCGTGTCTTATATTGAAGATTTCGGTAAATATGGAAACTTACCGATTCGAGCTCTATAAGAACAGTTTCCATTATCGGTATCATCATGGCTGTAGCGGCAGTGTTCGAAATCCACATTGAAATGAACATTGTCACGAAGAATAAACCTAGTGTTAATCTGATATTGAAAAAAGAAAATTTTAGTCGAAAAAATAAAAAAAAAGGTGAATATAGTATAATACATATAAACAGAACTGGAGACTCTAATATAGAATCTGACCATATAACAAATGATCCGACATTTTTTTTATCAAATCGTAAAGTGAGAAAAGATATATACATTTCATCTCGCTCTGCAATGATGCAAGAAAAAAAGATACGTTTAAGAATACGTACTCTGATTAAAGCGAAATTGATAAAAAATTATCTTATTGGCTTCTTTTATCATGATTTATTTTTTTAGAATTTTGTAAAAATATTTTACTTGTTCTAAAAAATCTTATTTATTCTATCATTTTGATTTATTTAGAGCGATTTTAGATATGTTTTATCCATTTTGTATTACGAATCATAATAGTAATGCAAACAGTTTTGTTATACAATACAATATTTGAAGACTTGATGATATCATCAAACAAGAATTTTATAAATACATTTGAAAAAATTAGAAATATCTTTTGATATAATACAATGATATAGAATGCATAAAACACCTTCGATGACTGCAACCAATAATTCTGATAATGAGTAGTGCCATTCGCATGTGCAAACCGGAGTTTTCAATAACTACTGCGATTACCAAACTGCCCATAAACATCATTGTGGTATCATTCATGTAACATAAACAAGTCTCATTGGTGGACATGATACCCATCAGCGGATATAAGACCACTGGGATCATACCCGTAATGGGCAATGGCAGGACCTCAGTCACCCAGAACATCGCCATTAATGCGATGATGTATAAACATTTCATTGCGAGAGGCTGCATCAGCAAGAAGAAAGAACGATTTTTTAATTTTTTCGACATTTAATGTGAAACTATAAATTGGCGTATACAACTCTTTATTTTCTCACTATACAACCATGTTAAATTATGATGTTTGAAACGAAAAGTTATACATGATTTTTTCTTGTATTGTAAATAAATGCATTCAAATGAATTAATGTCCATATATAGGTCAATTTTGAGCCAATAATTAATGGATAATTATAATTAGAAACTACACTGAGAAAAATGTCTCGGAAAACCTAATACAATATTGTAGACTTAATTTTGTCAATTAAGTAACTTTACATTCTAACATAACGGAAAATAGAAAATACAGATTAGCTACAATTTTGTAACAAATTTATTTTGTCACATACAAACACTAAAATTGTGACTCTGTGAAACAAACGCACAAATAAATTTATATATATATTGAATGATGATAGACTCGTAAGATTTAAAAATCCTAGAAAGTGAAATGCCTAATCGAGTCGTCTTGTAACAGTATATAAATTCACACAATTATAATTAACACTAACATCCTGTTACAAGACTCGATTAGGCATTTCACTTTCTAGAACTGTAAAATTTAGTTAAAATTTATTATAGTGCTCTATAAAATAATATTCTTAATATTAAAAACAACTAACATTAATTTGTAATAATGTTTTGCTTTTTTTATCATATAGTTTATCATATAGTCACTGTAAATACAGTTTTTTCATTTTAAACATTAAAAATAAGCTGCTTTACAATAATTGTAGATATATTTCTACAATTTGTCATAAAATATTCTGGCAAAATTATTTAAAACTACTACACTTTTTAGATTTTGTTAATCCTGCAATATTTTACAGCCTTAAGCAGTTTGTCAATTTATTTGAGACAAGCTTCTTAGAACAATCTTTCAGACTCGACTTTGCGTGGCACAGCGGATCGTGAGTGCGTTCGTTGCGGGTGCAACATTACCATAAAATATCATGGACTTGAAGAATACTATCCCACACACACATGTCTAATCATCACAGTGACTTTATGGTCATCTTTTTAAATCCAATTCTAATTTAGTGTATTACTATTGTAGGAAATATATAGAATATAAATGATTTGCCGTCACTAAGAACGTCCTTCATTTGAACGATGTTCCAAAGAAAGTCTTTTTAATATTATAATAAACTAATTTTTAATTATAATTCATTATTGGCTCAAAATTGACCTACATACTAATTTTATTACGTACTAAAACGGAGCTAGACAATTAAGATTATTATAATGTCCGTATATTCTACTTTTGAAAACTTTCTTTTATTATTCTTACATTAGTAAACACTCATATAACTCAATCCACATTTTAGCAAAAACATCTTGCAATAAATCTTATAACGTAAAATTTATATTTGTTTGTTAATTTATAAATTAAAAAAAGATTTTTATATACAATATTTCAGCACTTTATTGACTATGCATGGTAACATATGAAGAAATTAATTTAATATGGCTGCCGTTAGAAAAAAGGAGTTTTACGATGTATAAATTATTAATGCAACTTTTTTTTAACACATTTCCTTAAATATATTATTTCATTTATTTAATTTTCAAATATTAACATAAGAAAAAAACGTACTTTTTCACTTTCGAGAATCAATATCGGAATCAGGATTAATGGCCATAAGATCACAACAAAGGATTGCCAGTAAATGGCTAGAAACTTTATCAATAATCTTCCAAATCCCTCACTTTTCCTACATTTATAAAAAAATATTGCATGAAATGTTGTGTTATGAATTTTAAAACTAATCAACACAACTTACCCTGTGTTTCTCTCTCTTCCTCCGGATTCCGTAATTTCGGGGTATAAATCCTCTGATCTCGAAGCCATTTAAAAGTCTTACTGAAATTAGGATATTGAAACATTATTTATATTATAAATTTATTTTAAAAATATATATTTTTTAAATGTATATTATTTTAATTACGTTATTCTAGTTAAACGATATTAATTAAAATATTAATAAAATATATGTTTAATTTCTACGGCGTACTTTTTGAAATTAATTATTTGCACAAATATAACAAATTAATTGTAATATTTATCTCTATTTTCCTAAAATTGTTTTAATATCATTTTAATATATACATATAGTGTACTATGTTATGTGTAATAAAGTTAATATAATGAAAAATAACATACTTATCGAAAAGTTGAGGAATATAATATATAGGAATATAAGTATTAAATCAAAGGGAAGTATTTGGTAAATATATCTAGAAAAGGGGAGCCACCCCCGACGCCACCTAAAACCTGCGGGAGGTTATTCAGGGTCACGACCTTGACACCATATGTCAAGGTCAAGATCATCGTGGGTGGCTTCTCTTTTCTAGATATTTACCCTATTTTTGGAAACGTTTACTATACATTTACAATACATTTACAATACATTTACCCTTCATGAAACGTGAAGAATGGTTAAAGGAGGGGAAGGAAAGAAAGACGATGCAACATTGTCAAATTGTCATAAGAACAAATTGTACAAAAAGATAATTTGCTTTTTATTCTATCATTTTTGCATACTATTTTTGCGCAATATCGTGTGTTTCATATTTATTTTTTCATTAAGATATATAGTAGTTTCAATATTTTATCCAAATTATGCACATATTTGTAATTTTTGGTGGGCCCTGGTGAGAAACTCCAAATTTTCGGTACTTAAGAACCTTAATATGGCAAAATGTATGAATATAGCTCTTTTTCAACTAATTGCAAATTTCTCAAAATGGTGTGTGTGTGTTGACATGTGGAACAATTTAAAAAATTAATTTATATTCGGCATCCAAAAAATTTCAGAAAATAACCAGTTTTATTTTGGTACTTTTTTTGTTGATTAATATAATCGGTTTAATTACCTGATTGATGATTGTATTATACGATTTCTTATTGGCCGATTAAAACAAAAAATTTGAAGCACAATATGAATAAGATCGAAGATATTATACTTTCACGATCACGGTTTTCATGATTTTTTAATATATGCATATGCAGTTGCAATACAACGTCATTTTCGTTTATGTGACACCGGTTATGCACTTCGTCTGTACGTGTGCTTAATCAAAGTGACACTGCCGTCTATCTAGGCTCTCTCATAGTCGTTTAACCCTGCGCCATTTACATCAATAACAATACTACGTCGGGCGTACTATTCCAAAGCGTGTGCTTTATAACCATCATAAAGATTATTGTACACACAATAATGTCAGAATATATCTTGCGAGCTTTTGAAGGCACGCATCTTCGATGAAGTAGTGTATGTTAAGTGCAAACTGACACGTAATTTTCTAACGCTGCGAAAAGTTTTGCGTTATAATCTAAATTGATATTATGTCTTGTACTATTTTTCTTTTAGGAAATACAAAATATCAATATATTAACAATTTTTTATTAAATATATTTTTCGTGAATTTTTATAATTTAGAATATTTAAACAGATATATTTAAAATTGTATAGATAATGTTTATCAATTAATTTGAAATTAATTTGATAATTTTTTCTTCTAGAAGTATTAACATCTTTAAAAATGTTTTTTTTTCTATTTCTATAGAATATAAATGCATTTATTATTATCCTAATATTCTAAAGTTTCAATCTTTAGAATCCTAATTTTATGAAAAGACCCCGCAGATCTTATCGAAAAATGTTGGTTAAATTGACTGAAATTAAAGTATGTTGTTATTCTTGACATCCTGAATAAAAGTCTCAATAGCACGACTCTCTAAATTCAATACTTTTCCATTCAGAGATCTTTAAAGTACGTAGAAACCATGTTACTTTACGAACAAAATATATGAATATATATATATATATATATATCTACACACACATTTATATGCGCACGTGCGTGTGTGTGAATTTATATATATATTTATAATAAATTCCTCCTAACTTATCTTTCTTCTTCTAATACAATCTCCACTTCACCAGCGCTGTTGTCGTTTGTAAACAACTTAAATCCATGGAGAGACACACGACAGGGTTTGGAGTCTACCACGGAAGTGATGAACACATTTACTTCTATAAGCTTTCATCAGTATTGTATAACTATAAAAATATTGTTAAAAGACTTTCTAAAATATTACCAAAAAGTTACAAAAATAACTGAAACCTTTTTGAAGTATTATTGACCGTATCCTCTCGATTGAGAAGATTACGATCAACAATATTTTAAGGTTTCAGCTATTTTTGTAACTTTTTGGCAATATTTCTAGTATTTCAGAAATTATATTTGAATATACATACATTTAAAAATGAGAGAGAGAGGGAGAGGGGGAGGGGGAGGGGGAGAGGGAGAGGGGGAGAGATCTAAGTATATAATATTTAAATTTATTATGTTGACATAATAAATTTAAATATTGTTTAAGCATTAATTGGACATATATTTAAATATCATTTCTGAAATATTTAAAATTGATTAAAAGTGTGTTTTGTGATCTCTGTTTACAGATTACAAAACTTATTGAAATAGACTTAAAATATTTCTCAAAAATGGTTAAAATTTATTATATTCAGAAGATTGCAAGTAACCAAAACATTACAATAAATATTTTATAAAAATTGTATCTTTAATGCATGATTTTATTTAGTATTTGCAATTTCATGAATAACATTAATGCAATAAATGTAAATACGATTTCTGATATATACTTAATACAAATCATACATAATATATATAAGGGGCAATAATGTTTTATTTGTGTAATATAGTTTTGATTCGCATAACATTTATATTACTTCCCATTTTTTAGACTTTTATTTTTACACTTTTATGTTAAAATTAAAGTTGTTATAAATACTGAAGTATTTAAATTTTGAAATTTTTCATTAATTTGACGTTATGTATATAGTTAACATTTTACTTAAGAGTTTTATATTAATTAAAAGTTTTAATATATGTAAATTTATTTTGGAGTAATGTTAAAAGACTGAAATTTGATATTACCTGCTTTTTTTATCCTATGAGCAGATGGTATGCGCGTGTTCTTGCACACTATAGAAGCTAAGTTCGTGTAAAACAAATATAGCTGAACGGTTTGAAAAACCACCGACAGAAATAGATTCACTGCTGGTTTAACCTGTATTTCCAACATTATCAGTGAAGTTGGAAGTATGTTCATCATGCTTTATATACATATTCGAATTTATTATCAACGCTACTGTGTTGATTAATTTAATGTACTTGATGTATTGATTTTTTTAAATATTAATTATTTTTTAAAATCTATTTTCCATATCTATTAATTTTATTTGAATGTAAGTATTATTATATAATATTTTCCATAATAATTTCCAGAAAGAGAAAGAGGGGAGGGGAGAAGAATCAGCGAAAAAATGTGTGTGTGTGTGTGTGTGTGTATTAAATAGACCTTTCTGTTTTGAATGGCATTAATGCAGCTATACGAAGGTAGTTAAAACAAATTTTTTATTTAACGCTAGAAGTATTAAATTGTTATAATTTTTGACAAAATTTTTGATCTTGCAAGACTATTGTCAAAATTTCAAACAAATGCGTTTATTAGTTTTTGTTGTTTTACTTGTGTAGAGTAACATTTTTATTTTTTTTTTTTCTAATGGATAAAACCGAATATTATGCAGTTACAAAATATTTTGTTTTATTTATAACGTCAACATCAACATATATTCGCACTTCTTCAAATGCTCGAAAATGTACATCGGACAAGGCGTTTTGTATTGACCAAAATAAATGATAGTCTGAAGGGGCTATGTCTGGGCTATACGCTGGGTGCGGTAGAATTTCCCAACCAAGCGTTAGCAACGTTTCCTTTACAGGTTTACCAACATGAGGCCTAGCGTTGTCATGAATTTAAACGAATTTAAACGTGGTCGTACCAAATGATGAACCACACAGTGCACGCCCAAAAACTGCTACTAACGAAGAAATGGTCAGTAAAGTGCTCGATATTGTTATGAGTGACCGCCGTTTGAAGTTACGTGAGATAATAGAGATGGTAGGCATCTCAGAAGAACGGGTATTTCATATCTTGCATGAAATATTGAGCATGAGAAAGCTGACGTCGCGATGGGTGTCATCCATCACGCGTTTGCTTATGGTGGAGAATAAACGTGTGCATATGATCATCTCTAAGGAGTGTTTGGATCTGTTTAAACACAATCCACGAGAATTTTGTTGTCGATATGTGACCGTGGACGAAACATGGATTCGCCATTATCCACCCGAAACAAAACAACAATCGAAGCAATGCATGGATTTCGTCTGGTGAATCGGTCTCGAAGAAAGCCAAGTCAGGTCCATCGGCTGGGAAGGTCATGGCCACTATTTTTTGGGATTCTAAAGGCATCATCCACATCGACTATTTAAAAAAGGGAAAAACGATTACGGGAAAATACTACGCCGATTTACTGGGTCGTTTCGACAAAGAATTGAAGGAAAAGCGCCCTCATTTGGCCAAGAAAAAAGTGTTGTTCCACCACGACAACGCACCGTCTCATTCATCCGCAATTGCCACCGCAAAATTGATCGAATTACGATACGAATTGCTGCTGCCTCATCCACCATAATCTTCAGATTTGGCCCCATGCGACTTTTTTTGTTCTCAAATCTGAAGATTTAGATCGGAGGAAAGGAATTCGCGTCGAATGAGAAGATTATCGTCGCCACGAACGTCTATTTTGCAGAGTTTCAGCCATCGTACTTTTTGGTCGGCTTGAAAAAAATGGGATTAAATGTGATTTGAATTAAAAGGAGATTATATTGAAAAATAAAATGAACTTTTCCGAAAAAATGTTTTCTTTCTGACTTAAGAAATTTTTCAAGTTGCCCACGTACATATATACATATATGAGAAATCTATAATAAAAATAAGAACCAACTTTTTCTAAAATTTCATAATATAATTCTGGTCAATTTTAAATTAGCAAGTTCGTTTCTTTTATTAAAAGAGTATTGTAGAACATTGAACACTTTTTTTTCAAAATTATAGTTTTGTTAAGTTTTGTAACGATATCTCACCAACAGAAATAAAAATCAGTGATCATTTTTTAAAATATCTGTCTTAAAATATCTATTATATAACTTGAACTTCATGAAAGTCCTCACGAAAGAAAACTTTTTCTAAATTTAAATTAATAAAATTATTAAGTTTTACTCTTATTTAAAAAAAAATTTGTTTTGTCGCTGTTACAAAAAAATTATTTTAATCAATTTAATCAATAAAATTACTATCTAAGAGAACGCCATTAAAATTTGTAAAAATTTTTGTTTGATTTTTGTCAAATTATTGCAAAGCTAAAAAATAATTTTTTAAATAATTATTTGTAACTTGATAAAACTAGTTTTATTTGCAATATTTATTTGTATCATTTTCTCACAAAAAGTTTCTAAAGATTGTATTTCTAAAAAGTTTGTTTATATATTTTTTTTGTTTATATATCTTTAATATATAATATTTTAATTACAAAAAAATTAAGTAAAAACATAAAAGGCTATTAAAAGTCAACGCTGTTAACAGTGCGCAAAATATATAATCTTGAAATCTAAAACATAGGTATTATGTCGAACGTTTCGATCCTTAGTTTCGGATCATCATCAGCGACAAATACAATTTAAAAATTAAAAATTACTCAGAGTTGCAAACAATGATGTTGTCCCGCAGTATGTAATACAACCAATCTGAGGCAAGACTATCACTTCTTCAGGTGAAAGTATGTACAAGTGTGAATAATTGAGTATATATGTCTGTGAAATATATAATACATCAAGAATTGAAAAATTACATTAAAAAGTTTTTAAGAAAAATTTGATAAAACAATAGAAAATAAATACTCAATAAGCTTACCTCAGTTGGTCGACAAAGACATAAAATCAATTACATCACAAAAAATCACATTGATCAAATTTCATCGTCAATATGTCTGTATATGACGATGTATAACGATATAATGAAGAAGACCGTTATTACAAATCAACAGACCACAAACAAGTTAGGTCAAATTAATGTTTATT